AATAAGTTGAGAAATTAAACTATACTCCCTTCGTCCTATAAAAACTGCAATTATAGGACCGAGGATGGATACCAAGAAACGATGCTAAATTACCATATAATACACCTATATAGTCACTTCCATCCAACACAGCAGCTCGCTGAAGAAGGAGCTTGTACGGGAGTGTTATGGAAGACAAGGAATATGAGTGGACGAGAGGCCTGTGTCCGATTTTATTAGAGTGTTTGAATTCAGAGATTAAAGTTTACTCTTTGTCACATCAGATATCGAGTACTAATTAGTAGAACTAGACATAAGCTAATTATAAAACTAATTACAGAAGGCATGACTAATTTGTGAGAAAAATCTATTAAACCTAATGAATCCATCATTAACGCATGTTTTCTGTAGCACCATATTATCAAATCATGCACTAATTAGGTTTAATAGATTCGTCTCGCAAATTAGTCACAATCTGTGCAATTAGTTTTTGTACCTAGTGCATATTTAATACTCCAAATTAGTGTACAAACATCCGATGTGATAGAGACTAAACTTTAATAGCGAGAACCAAACAGGGCCTTAGTCTGCGTGCAGCAGTTTTAAGGCCAAACGAAATGAGTGAAAGACTGTTTTACTCAGTGTGGGTCCCACTAGTTGACATGGTACTTTAGTGGGCACATTCATTTGGTTGGTGCATGTGTCTTTGGTTTGAAATTTGGTTGGTCTTTGGTTTTTGTGAGAGGAAAACAACATTGGTTTGGCTGATTTGGGCTTATTAAACCAACAAGCTTAACATGCTGATGTATCTTTTGTTAGACAAAATTTGAATGGTAGGATTACAGTTTTTTTTGAACGGAGGTAGTACATGTGAAACACTCAAATAGGTAAAGCGTTTAATACAGGCAGTGGCGGAACTAGGGGGGTGCTAGCAGGGCCATGCCCCCCCCCCCTCACGCCTGAAATTTTCTTGAATACACCTGTTGCAGCCATTGAGGCGATAATCTTATCTTATACTCTTATAAAGCAAAACTTTACTACCTATTTCTTTGAGATTTTGTGAGGTCACGTCATCACCTGAGCCCCACCACCAAGTCACTAAGTACAAATACTAAATTGCACTCGTGAGCCCCTTTACAAGTAACTTCAAACACTAAATTGCATTTGCTGCCAAGCCATCAAGAGGCACCATATTGTTCTCCACTTGATTCCTTTAATTTACCAAGCCACCAATTCAATTATGCGTTCAAGCCATGATTACAAATTTTCACCCTGCACCTTCTCCATGATGACTCCGTCCAGCATCAAACTCTCGTATCCTTCCATCTCCTCTATTCCACTTCCATAATGGAGTTAGCAGCTAACCAAATTTATCTGTATTTTCTCTTGATAGCCGCAGCACGCGCGGGGAATTTTTCTAGTTATTTCTAAGTGAAGGAGCTGTTGAGTGTTTTATCTCCATGCCTTATCTTCGTCTCGGCACCCTCTAAGTCTTTCTTTTGGTTCCACCTCTGAATACAGGCGCAGTAATAACAAAAACAAACATACTTAAACTGACGAAGGAAACGGAAGTGTGACACTTTAGAGATGAGAGTTTGAGACGCTGCACTTGCATGCCTGTTGGCGTCGGTCCAGACGACCCAGGCCAGAGAGCATCGTCGTATATGTCAACGTTCTCAAAACTTGGTACACCAATATTTTGTTTATATTACGGAGTACAATCTATGGGAAATGCATGGTTCAACGTTTCGGGCTGACTAGTAGACGATTTTCGTGTAACGTGTTGAACCAGTCTATTGAAAACAATGGATCAGTACATTTGAAATATGCTTTTTTTTAAATGCTCCGTGCATACAAAAAATATACAGTTCTAAAATAGTACCTACTCAAACTATCTTTTAAGTCTGACTATATGTGTAGTTATGTTTATAGTACTAAATAAACATTATTATATAAATATGTTTATATATTTATTTGGACTCTTAAATATTGATGCTATTTTTTTCAACAAAATCAGTCAAACTTAAATTAATTTGACTGTAACCAAACTCAGAATTGCTGAGCCAGCGAGCCACGGTGGTCGTCGTCGTGGTCAGTGCCTTTGCCTTTTGCGCAAGCAGTGGACAACGACTCTTTTTCTTTCGTTTCACCATCAGTGGCATGGGTGAGCTATGAATGCGGCCGTGCCGGCACTGCGAGGCTAGGTAGGAGTAGAGATCAACTAGTCTGCTCTTCTCTTTTCTTTTGAAAAAGAGAGAAAGAAAGAAACGAAACGGAAAAGAAAAGAATAGGTACTCTAGTCTTCATTATGGTTTATTAGTGCTGGAGGGTACGTGTAGTAATCCTAATCGGTTGGTAATCCACTCTGGTCTCCCTCGATCCTCCTGCTATCGATTCTGGCTGCTTCACCTGCCGGATCTTCATTTTCATTCCTAATAAAAGGCACTTTTTGCTGGTGGCCGCATGCATTGCGTGCTCCATTATCTTGTGGTTTGCGGCCAGCGCGCGCGCGCGTGTCTTGTCTTGTGATCGACCCCGTCAATTAAGTTTGGAATGATGGCGTCGATTAGCAAGCAAAAGGCAGGAGGCAAAGAATGATGTGTTCCATTGGAGATGATGACTGATGAGGAGAGGAGAGGTTATAGGACGCAAGTTGCTTCTTCCGAGTTCCGACCTCGCACGCAAGGGCAAGGGCAAGGCAAACAAGATTTTTTTTTTTTTGTCTCTCTCCGATCCATAAGTTCATGGTACCCGAAAAAATTATGTTAAGCAATGATGTCTGAAACTAGGCAGTGTATAAGGGTCTGTTTGGCAGAGCTTTCACTCTTGGTCTGAATCCATGAAGAGCTCCGTCAAATAGCTGGTTACTTGCTGAGAAGTGATTCTATGCTGATTTCGTAAAGTGATTAATTATCCGAAATGAACTAGAGGGTTGGGAAGTGAAAGAACTTAACTTCTCCTCATTTACTCTATGTGCATAGAGTCACTGCGTATATAGAGTTTATCCTAGAGAATCAGAGAGAAACGTTATTCAATCATAGAATCACTTCTCATATAAAATCAAATTTCACCAACAAAAATTGGAGTACGTGGAGCTCTATTAAACGGGCTCTAATGTTAACTTTTTTTATAGCTTATTATGTACAAGCGTTAATTAGATTGGTGTATGAAAATGGTCACTATATCTGTTTCTACTTCAATAACAGTTAGATGCACAAGTGGTTCCTACAATCCTTATTAGTTGTATTAAGACCCCAGTTTCCATTTCTCCATCTTAAATCCAAAGTTCCCAGAATTCATGTTCTCCTGAACCGTATGATGTTCTGACGGATCGTCTGCTAGAACTTTTATTCAGCAGAATCAGTTAGAATGAGTTGTCCTCCTTTTCTCCCTCTTAGGTCCACCTGTTAGCCCGAAGTGAAGTCTTCAAGGTGACTGGTTTAGATCATCCCTCCTCCCATCTCTTCACTCTCATCCCTCTCCCCCTCTCTCTACAAGGAGGAGAAAACAAGAACTAGAGAGAGAAGCAAGAGAAAGAAAAGAAAAAAGAAAAGGAGATCGAAGCCAAAGCTAGGCGTCATCGGCTCAAGAGTATATTCAATTTCTTAATCACTAGTACCATCCTCTATATGAAAGGACAAAAACTAGGTTGCACAACCCTAACACCTCACCCACACACTCCTAGATGATAAGCACACATCCCTAGGGAACACCACCCGCAAACCCTAGACCAAAGCTCAAGAACACAAAGAACAAACCATTCGCATAGGTTTTGTCGATGCTCTCATAGATCGCACGGAGGAACATCGGACTGTTTGTGGGATCACTTAGAGCCAACACAACTTAAGTGCACACTCGTAATGTTCCCCTAAACTGTCTGATGTCCTTGGGGAGTGTCCAAAGGAACCCGGATCGTCCACGGGAACATTGAGACCCCAATCCAGAAAAGTCACCCCTTTAGGAATGCACATGTGGAGTAGGAACACCACATTGTCCGATAAATATTTATGAATATTTATTTCTGTAAACCCATGAACCCTAACCCCAACCACCCTAGCCAATGTTTAGATACCTCTTAGTTCAACACCAATTCACCTTTGATCCATCTAATTGAGACCCAAACAACAATTCAGTTCAACAACGGGGCGACACGCTTCTCTTCCTTTGCGGTCATTGCTTACCTACTGCAGGGAAATGCGAGGGCGCACGATGACACACTCCTCTGCGCGGCATGGGGGTACGGTCAATGGTGGCCCCCCTCTGCGCCTCTATGGTGGCAGCGAGGCTGCGGGACCATGGCCGGCGGCACATATGCGAGCGATAGAGTGACGTGCTTCTTCTCTCTTCTTTGTGTTGTGCTTGCATGGTTTGAACCAAAAACTGAACTGAAAAAAACCAGCGCTGAACTTGTTGGTTCCTTGTGCCGTGACAAACCGATCGGCCAGAGGATTTCAGAAACCGAAGTTTCTGATAAAAAACCGAAGAAACCGAACTAAACTGTCGGCGCACGTGCATATCCTAGACAATAAATACTGTAAACAAAACTCGGACACGACCAGGGCAGCATTGTGGCCCAAACCGAACGGGCGCAGCAGACTCAGGACGTTTTACACTCTGCCCAAAAGGGCCCAAGTTGCATTAAGAAAAGGGGCCCAAGTTAGTTTCAAAAAAAGGGCCCAAGTTGCAAACCGAACGGGCGCAGCCTGCTGCTCTTGGGCCAGACCGGACCGTTCCAGTTTCCGCGTCAAACTAACGGGCCCCACAAACCATGTTGCGCTTGTACCTGCGCGGGACCCACCACCACCGCCGAGGTCGGCAGCCGTCCACTCCGCTCGTGGGCTGCGTTCGGCCTATTCGCGTCGGCGTCCGTGCCGCTCCCACTCGCTGTCGGGCTCGGGCTGGCTGGCTGCCATCTTCACCTCCTCCCTCCCCAGATTCCCTCGCCTCTCAATCGCCGCCGCACTCCCCGCACGCATTTGACCCTCCCCCCACGCGCGCGGCATTCCGCATCGGCGCATGGCATGGCCACCCCGGGGGGGTCCACCTCCGCCACCTGCGCCATCTCCTCCGCGCTGGCGCACCCGCCGGCGCTCCTCGACTACGCCGCGATCCACTCGTGCCTGCTCCGGGGCGACGCGCGATTCTCCCTCCCGCTGCTCGCGCTGCTCCTCCTCCTCCACTTCCGCCTCCTCGCCGCCGCGGCCTCGGCGCGCTTCACCCCGGCTGTGTCCCGCCTCGCCGCGCGCCTGCGGCTCTCGCCGTCCATGGCCGCCGTCACGCTGCTGGCGCTCGGCAACGGCGCGCCCGACGCGTTCGCCTCCGCCGCGGCGCTCGGGGGGCCCCGGGGGATGCCCAGGGCCGGGCTCGCCGCCATTCTCTCCGCGGGAGCGTTCGTCTCCGCCTTCGTCGTCGGCGCCGTCGCGCTCATCGCCGCGCCCTTCGCCGTCCCGCCGGCCTCCTTCGCGCGCGACGTCTTCTTCTACCTCGTCGCTGCGTCGGGGCTGTTCTACGTCTACCTCAGCGCTGAGATCTTCCTCTGGCAGGCTGTTGGGCTCGTGCTCTTCTATGCCTTCTTTGTGGGGCTAGTGTTCTACATGGATTTGGGGAGTGCGGAGAGGAAGGCGGTCAGCGCCGCGGCCGCTGAGCTGGAGATGGTGAGTGGCAGTGGCCGTGTGGCCGTGGACTTGCCGATCACAGTGGAGGATCACAGGCGGCAACAACAACCTGCTTTGTGTGCGTTGCTCTCGAAGGTATGCATTCAATTCAACAACTCGCTGTTAGTTTGTGTGCTTACTTGAGTGAGTCATTGTTAATGTCCAATGTGCTAGTAGTACTTGCTTGACGGAGACATCAATCCTAGTCTGTTTGGTGGTGTCTGCAGATTCAACAGTCTCACCTGAAAAAATACTGAAAATTATGATTTCTTTATCTGCAACTTTCATCTTTTCGTTGACTTTGGCCCCCCTTTTCCCTGGAGTACGTTTAACTTTGGGTTTTAACATTACTGACTGGATTCAAATGTGAAACAGTCGATCAAACACATAGCTCTTACCAGCAAATGTTTAGGGAAAAAAATTCAAAAGTATGTAACAGTTCTTCTTTATAGTTTGTAGATTATTAGCCCCAATATCACTAAATACACAGAAATGTTTCCTTTGCCATGCTGGTCAGAAAAGCAATCGTTGATTGTTTAGTCATAAGTCCACAACCAACTTAGTAAGGCTGCTGAGCTAACTGGAATAAGGATAGTGACTCAACTCTCCTAGGGTCCAATACATGTTCTTACAACCCTAGTAAGCCAAGCACCCACCTGGTCAATCAAGCTTACGGGTGAACGAACGTTGCCAGTATCAGCTATAACACGAACAAGTGAATGCCCAAGCATCCTTGCTGGTATTTTGGACATTTGCTAGCTCATAGTGGTTGATGAACAGACGAGCGATTTGTCCAACTCTCGCATGCCAGATTAGATGTTCAGTTTTAGTATGTTTTGGAGTTAGGATGTCTATTGTCTGCTCCTCCCTTTATTTTTCTCCTCTAGGAAAAACTAGGTATTTGGTGCTTAGACAGAGCAACTACAAAGAAGGTCAAACTTTTGTGGAGGGAAAGCTGAGAAGCATATAAGTGACTAGTGATTGTCAATTGTCATGCGCACGGACCGGAGAGGGGTCGGCCAGGGCTAACCCTGGGGGGCATCACAGCTAGGGCAAGAGAGAGGATAGAGGTGTGTTTGCTTGCGTGAACAGTAAGGGGAACAAGGGGGCAATAAGGCAGAGGGGTATTACCCTAATTCTGCTCAACCTTTCATTCATAAGCTCTATATTTATATAGAGGCATAAGACTTGACCCCTAAGACTCCTAATAGATTGATACTTTGTAGATGGAACAATCCAATCTAATTACAACTCAAATTTATTAAGCCTAACTCTATGACACAGGGCCCAACTGGCCCTACCTTAATAGTTCAACCAGCCACCTTGGATTCCCCCCTCTTGCAGTAATATATTTTGCTGACCATTACATCTCTCCTCGCCCTGTGAAGCAATTCATCCTTGAGCTGCAGTAATAGGTATATACTTCCTTAATGAGTTCGGCATCCTTTCGTTGTTGGTGCTATCCAGTAGGAAAGAGGATGGACAGTTTCATAACAACCTATCCAGAGTATTGGCCTCCCATGTCTCCAGAATTTCATTGTTAAGTTTGCGAAATCCCACATGATTGGCCGTAGGGAACTTAGCCAGTTTACTCCCAGTATGATATCATAATCTCCAAGTGGTATACTGTAACAGTCAATAGTGAATTGCTCTGGCCCAATTGATATTTGTAAGTTGTGGCATGATCTGACGTTGGATATCTGATGGCCTCCAAGTACTGCTACTTTAAGGCCATCTGGTGCTGGTATTGTCTGGAGCTGCAGATATCTTGCAGTATCTGCATTTATGTAGTTGTGTGTAGATCCAGAGCCCAATAATGCCAATAGGGAGTGCCCATTCACACAGATTTCCAATTGCATAGTTGGCCTAGTTGCAACATGTAGTGAAACCTGAGTCTGTGTGTCTGTTGAGGCAGTATCTGGGGTGTCAGGCTGATGGCGGCTTGCATACTTCCCTGTCAGAGATATTGCTGTCTCCAAGTGTGATGGTTCTTCTATACTGGTGGGAGATAGGTTGTGTAGATTGTAGGGGAAGGAGGTAGGAGGACAAGGGATGGGCAGGCGACGGCGGCCTGTGGTCGCTTGTACGTAAGGGGAAGTCGGCGGCCTAGGGAAGGCAACGGCATGTTCGCCCTCCTCCTTGGCTGCAGCAGCGGCTTTAGCGGCGGCGGCGTCTTTGGTGGACTTAGTGCCGCCTTGCTCGATGGAGATGAGGCGGGTGTCAACATTGTCCCAGCGGCATTGAAGCTCATCGAAGCTAGTGTTGGTGTTGATGACGAGCTTCTCGAGCAGTGCCTTTACGTTGGTGGCGTTTGGAGCGGTGTTGTTGTTGCTGGCCATGGATACCTGTTCTCTAGATACTAGATGTGATGGGACTATATTTGTGGGAGGTGGGTTGTGTAGATTGTAGGGGAAGGAGGTAGGAGGATGAGGGATAGGAAGGCGAAGGCAGTGTGAGGCCGGCTTACGGCAGGCGGCATCACAGGGGGCAATGGCAGCACTGGAGATGGCAGGCGCAGGGGAGCAGGGATGCAGGAGAGCTTGAGGAATAATCCTCTATATTTCTTGCTTGTCTGATATGAGTACACGTCCCCTATATTTATACTCCCAATGGCTTGTTCCCTAAGCAAACTAGAAGTAGAGTCCTTATAGATTTGGACTCTCCTTTTCCTAAACAAACTCTATCTTTCCTAATCTGAATTTATTCTTTCCCATCTTATTCAAAATCTAATTGGACGTGGACTCCTCCTTGGGAGGAGGGACCCGGGGAGCCCCCCCTCCTGTGCTCGGCCAGCCCTGGCCCTTCTCTGGGCCTCTGGGTCCACCACTGCCGGGCCTCTTTGGACCCATGGCACCAACCACCAAGTCTGGTGGTTGGTGTAATTCCAGTTTGAGGCGCAGGAGATCTGTCAGTCCTGCTTTGTATAGCATAGCTTGTTACAGATTGTTTACCCGAGAGAGCTGTGTCATAAACTGGTCTGTGTACTCCTTAAGTGATTCATGCAGTTGAGTTTCTGATAAATGTCCCAGCGAGTTCTTTTGCTGTCAGAGGTCCGAAGGTTTGTTGATGATAGAGAGAAAATTGGGCCATGATTGGGTGCTCTCATCCTTTTCTAAGCACATAAACCATGTCAAGGCTTGACCTGTCAAGTGGAAGGATGCTAACAGCATCTTGTCTTTTTCTGGTGTTATCTGAGATAGAAAAGGGTTCGTAGACTCCATCATATTCTGGAAACAATCATTTATAATAATTCTGATTACCCTTGTGTTCATACCTTGGCTCCTGATTCTTTGGTGTGAAATCTGTTTTTCCTTCCCATCCACCAGAGGCTGTTTCACTTTCCACCGGTTGCTGATCTATCAGAATTGGTCCCTCTGGTACTGTTGCTCCCCTTTTCGGGGTTGGAACATAGGTCGGAGTAGTTTTGGTCCGCTCCCGCTGTGCTTGCTGCTCGAGTTTTGCTGCCTACACCACTAGTGGTTGCATCTTTTATTTGATCTCTTTCATCCAACTAGCCCATGCTGTACAGATCCAAATCGGATTCCATTGTGATGGAAGAACGCTGGCTCCAAATACCATTTGTCACACTCTCATATTGCAGAGGGGTCAGCCAGGGTTAACCCTAGCCGAGAGGGTGAAGAAACTGGGGGCTAGGGCAAGAGAGGAGAGTGTGGTACACGGGGGCAAGAAGGCAGATGAGGATTACCTTAATTCTGCTTAACCTTTCATTCATATAAGCCCCTCTATATTTATAGAGGCATAAGACTTGATCCCTAAGACTCCTAAAAGATTTTGTTGCTCCTCTCTTGCAGTTCACGAAGCTTTAGCAAGGGTAGTGAGTGAGTGGGATGAATCATGTATTATGCTATAATAATATATAATATATCACACTGCACCACTTCACAGATATACTTAGTTTGAGAACATTTTCCTTTCATTCTCTGTATTTTTCTCAATACTGATTTAAGTATATCTACCTCTGGCAGGTAACAGAAGTTTGGGAGTGGCCCATTGCATTTGTTCTGAAGCTTACAATACCATCAACCCTTCCTTCTGAGTGGATCAAAGTTTACATTAGTGCAAATATCTGTCTGTGTCCTCTCTTAGTCCTGTATTCTTTCAGTTCGTTCATTCCTCTAGATACCCGAATAGTGTTTCTTCTCCCTCAAATCCGTTTCCCTCTATGGTCTGTTGTGCTTTTTGCTAGCTTGTGTTTAGCTCTATCCCATTACCTTTTCGAGAAAGAAGCCCCAGAAACAGAAAACATCGCAAGCACCCTCATCTCTTTTATTATGAGTGTCTTCTGGATCTCGACCATGGCTGGAGAGCTCCTGAACTGCCTTGCTGCAATTGGAGTTATCATGGACTTCCCTCCAGCTATACTCGGCATGACAGTCTTGGCATGGGGGAACTCTGTGGGAGACCTTGTTGCAGATGTGGCACTAGCCAAGGCTGGTCAACCTACAATCGCCATTGCTGGCTGCTTTGCTGGTCCAATGTTCAATATGCTGGTTGGATTGGGAACTGCCCTTGTAGTACAAACAGCAAGAGTGTATCCCAGAGCTTATGTACTTGAATTCCATGTCGGAATTGTCGTTGCATTTGTGTTTCTTCTTCTGAGCTTGATGGGCACCCTGTTGGTGGTCACCTGGGCTAGGTTTCGGGTACCCAGATTTTGGGGCTACTGCCTTATGGGTATATACATCTTGTTTACCATAGTCAGTATTGCTATCGCGAGTTCTTCAGGATGATATGTGATCTGTTTTGTGAAGATAGTTGCTGCTAGATTGTGGTATATACTTAGCAATTGCAATTTGTCTGGTTGATGCATCCGATGAAAACTGTTCATGAGATATCATCTGCCTGGCCATGCTGTCTAATCTTAATGTATAGAATTGAGATATTTCACTGCAAAGTTTATTGAAGTGGTACGGTTGGTAGGATGTTACATGTTGCTTTGAAGCCGTTGTTTGTTGTGTTTTTTTTATGCTCTTTTAGGTAAAAGTTTCAGATGAGATGCATAGAAATCGACCTTCTTCACTTGTGTCCTGGAGGTCTCGGTCCGAATCAACCTTCTTGCAAAATAAGCAAAGAGAGAATCTCTAGCACAAGCCTCCCCCAAACATCTCTAAGAGCAAGTATAATAACAGGCTCTAGGAGGAGAGAAAGGAGAAGCGAGCTGTAAGCTTATATCCGGCTTAGGCACATGAACCAAGAAACTTTGTGAGAAAAACAAGTGAGTCATGTATTAATAGTGAAGAGATAACTACTGTATGGATGGGCTGAGAGGCTACAAGGAGCCTTGCTCTAAGAGAAGTTCCTATAGGTTGGGAGCTTAGCAGCCATGTTTCATGTTTCCTGAAGGAAACGGAAACAGGAAATGATGACGGGACGTGGAGCTATATTTTATAATGCAACTGTAGGACCTAAATGTTTTTAGAACGAGAACTTTTTATTCGCGAAATAATGTTCATGGAGCAAGAAACGTGACCTTGTTTCACGTTTCCAGCTGTCAAGGCTGGGAGAAGAGAAAAAAAAAGTTGGATGACATGAAGCTGAAGTGAAAATGCAATTCTTGAGGAGCCCTTAAGTGTCGGTGGAAGAAGTGAAATCAATTCTCTTTGAGGCTTTCAAATTGCGCCGCAAGTAAAAATAGAATGCAGGAAATAAACTTACGAATAAAATCAATGAAACCTCCTACTGGCCCCTTTCCCTTCTTCCAGGGTGTACAAGGTTGGGGGCATATCGAGGAATACGAGCTACACCAACCGTGAATGGTCAAATCTCAAACCATTGGGGAGCAAGTAGTAGTGGGATTATTTTATATTTTATAATGATAGATGTGGGTAACTTAAATGCAAATTAAAACATATGATTTTTGTTATCTTTAATATGGCTGAAGTTGGTAATTTATAAGCAAATTTAGGGGTTATTCTCAATTATATTTCATAATGGAAGAGATTATTTAGATGTAGATTTTTGATGTTATTTATGGCTTTTTACATAATGATAGTAGTGGGTATTTTTTTATAAAATATATTAGATTTTTTTAAATAAAATTTAGGGGTCTGCCATGGCTGAGCCATCTGAAGGGCCGCGCCCCGACGTCTCCGGCCCCGCGCCCACCCCCAGTGAAGCCCGGCGAGGCCGTGTGAGCCCGCCTGCATCCGGTGAGGTCGTGCGAGCCCACCTGCGTCCGCCTTGCGCCCGTGTCTAGCCAATCCCAGCCCCAGCCGCTGCTCCATGCCCTCCTCGGACGCTGCGCCTCGCCGCGCCCACGGTGGCTGGCCGCCAACCGCTCGGCGCATCGTCAAGCCGGCTGGAGGAGGAAGAAGACCGTGAAAAGATTTTTTTTTTTGCACACTGTCAAGTGGGACCTATCCCATGGGTAAATCTGGCAATTCCAATCAAAATGCTCTTGAGTGAATCTTGATCTACTGTGTTACCCAAACGGTTTCCTAGTGGATCTCAGATCCACTACCGGAGATGCTCCATGGTAAATCTCAGATCCAGATTCACTTTTTGAAAAGTGGAGCTATCCCAAACAGACTTTTAACGGCTAGATTTAAGTCTTGAAAATAGCCGTTAACACACCCTGAGCACCGCTGCGATTCATCCAGCATCACCGGACTCCTTCGATGTCCCCTGGGCAGCTCTGCAGAAGGTTTAGGGTAAAGGCCCTACGCCCTGTTTGCTTGCCTTGTAAGCCGTACTTTTTTAGTCAACGAACAATATTTTTCTCTCACAACAAATCAGCCAACAGTACTTTCAGCCATGGCTTATCAGCCAAACGATCAGGGCGCTAAGCTCCGGTCCCCTTAAGGCATACCACCAGTGGTTCTGGACACCTTTCATAGAAGGTTTTCAGCAACACCAGAAAACTTGGTGCTTCTTCCGCTGTTGTCAAACGTGCACAGAAAAGGCCTAGGCCAGCTCCGATGCCTCCAGGCCTGGAGCACTGGATTCTAGTGGCCCACCTGACAACCACAAGCGAGAATCGGACCACTTAGAGTCTGTTCGCTGGTTAGTTTCTAGGCTGATAAGCTCGGCTGCTACTGGTTTGTTGTGAGAGGAAAACACTCAGCCTGTTCGTTTGGCTGTGGCTTGTCGTAAACGATCGTAAATTTCCAGCCGGAACAATATTTTTCTCTCACACAAACCAGCCAGTAGTACTTCTTCACGAACCAGCAACGAAACGAACCAGCCAACCGAACAGGCTGACTGTTGGCTGGCTGATAAGCCCTGGCTGAAACCAACAAATGAACAGGCTGTTAGTTTATGCAGAGGCCTAAGCTCCGGTGTTGTCCTTGAGGGACCAACGGAGAAATCCGGCGAGATCAGAAACCTTACAAACAGCGCCTCTCTCAAATCATTTTTAAATGTGCTAACTCCCAAATGTGTCTCACAAGACAACAACACCTATTAGCACTAAGTTAGCATTTTAAAAATGTTTTTCAAATATTTTTCTCTTGCTTCCTCACCACAACACTAGATCTAACACATATGCATTGTTAGGACAACTGCATTAGCTCAAGATATCCTTTTTAATAGTACAGTTATTATTATCTATCCTAAACTTGGTCATGCTCTTCCCTACTACACCTTGGTCGGTGAAACAAAGCCCTATAGGTTTTTGCCTTCGGGCTTGTCTTCACTTCTCCATCCATCTCCTTCATCTTCTCGTTATTTTGAGGCCCTGCATCTTTGTGGCCATCACCATCTCCACTGTGCATAATGCCTTGCTCAACACCATCTTGTGGACTAACCTAGCTTATCAACTCAAACAAAACATTAGTTCACTAGTGATGAGGATATGACACCTATGGATATGCCCATGAAAGTTAAAGATAGGTGAGCTCGTTCCTATATTTTCATAATGATAAAATTAATAATTTGTTACTACCTAATATCGGTATTTCAAATGTGCTTAGGAACGATGGTGATGATGATAGAGTATGGATATGCCATGAATAAGACTGATCTTGGAGTGCAAGCTCATCAAAGTCTAACATTCGGTTCGTCGGCAGTCTGACAGTGCTTCATTGTGAAGGCCATAACTCATCCATCAGGAGAGTGATTGAGGTCAATGAGCACTTGATGTCTTTCAAATAGATTTGGTCCCACCTCAATATCACGTCGGCAAGGTCTTCAAATTATCAAGACATTCTGCCGTTATTTCTGTCAAGTGCTACGACGTCGTCACGGGCTTGTTATTCACACTTGGGACCCAGAACCAAGTTGGAGCACGTCCCAAGAAGATGGAGAACACCTAAGAGATGCCCAAGGATGTCCTCCTCCTTGGCCACCACCTTAGGAGGCAAGTAAGGGCATCCAAGCCAAGTTGGAGGCCCAATCAAAGTCAAGTTCGAGTCCATCTCGGGCTCCAGGAGCAGCTTGTAGTAAAACGGACGCCCAGGTCACATACGAACTCCATTTTAGACGATCCATATATGGATGGAAAGATAATTTGATAACGTAACTAATGGAAGTGGTCCCACATTAAAATTCGATCAGAATCAATGGGAATCGTCAAAATAAATTGACGTCCAGAATCTGTCAGGGCGCTACGTCGCCATCTGCTGGGCCGTTAGGCCTTATAACGTGTTGGGACTCCTTAGGGACGTGAATAAGGGTGCTTGCGTGCCCCTTAGGCTATATATTCAGTAGTCGTTGCCTGTGTTAGGGTTTGGGTTTTACTTTAGATCAATCTATCATTGAACAATCGCCGTTATCGGTTTATGAAACCCTGCATTGAAGATCATAATCATATATCTGCAATTGTCACTATACTTGAGTTGCCTGTTATCTTATTTTTGCTTGTGTTCTTCGATTCGCAGCAAGGATTAGCCGTCTTAGTGAGGTTAACCGGATTGTGACACGATTGGTAACTAGAGGAGATGTGGTGCTAAGGTTGCAGGGTTCGGGTCTTTGTGATTTGAAGCCGGATCGGTGTGTCGCTCTTCACCAAATCGATAGTTATCTTAACCTGACGGAAGATCGGGAACCCCGTTCCCATCAAGTGGTATTCAGAGCTTCAGGTATACCATTAGATTCACATTTATCCTAGTTTAGTTGTTTTTGTTTGTCCCATAAATCCAGAAAATTGCCCTACAAAAATATTTGTGTTCATCTTTGTTTTTCTCATATCCTATCACCCGTTGTGCCACTGCAATTTTTTATTTCAGTTTGTGTTATTGAACGGTCGTCCCTCGCGTGTCATCGTGTTACCGTGTCTAGGTCTTGCTCTTGGTCACCGCTGAGTTTAGTTCCATGCTGTTATATGTGCAAGAAACAAAGAGCATAGAGAGATAGCGGTTCACTTTTTGTTTCCTGCGCTGCAGATTTTTTTTCTCTTCTGTGCTGCACATAAAAAAAAGATAGAGAGGTATCCTAGTTTTTGGTTGTAAGTTTCGGTTTGCACATGGCACCACTTGACGTATCCTAGTCAAATTGTTGAAAGAGTCCTGCAGTCCGACATATAGGATAGAGAAGGAAACTTTGATTAATCTTGTACTGCGTCACAATTTTGGTTTCCTTTGTCCTTTGTTCAGTCAAAGAAGTCACGGCCATATTCTTTTCTTCAAGTGTTGCTTCAGGTTCCAGCTAAATCACGACAGAACAAATTCACATGACCACATAGTCGTTGTACAAGCTGTGTCGTCCAGTTGTTTTGTATTATGTTGCGGCACTTTCTGGGATAGTAAAAAAAATTAAGAAAAAGGCAAGAAGGTGCAAAAAAAAGAAGGTAAAA